TTCGCCCACTTCTTGAGTCGAAAGCCGAAGAATTTTTAAGCATTCTGCTACAATTGTCTTGGCCAGTTGATTTTCAAAGCTCATCGTGCCAGTTCGTTATTGAACATTTAATATTTACTTTACACGATTCTAACAAAGATAAATATGAAAAAGTCGAGGGTTTGTTCCAAAGACTGAATGAACTGAATGAAAAACTGTGTAGCAAGTGTAAACCTGAGAAAATCATCAAAGATCATTGGCTCAAAGATTATTATTACGAAAAGCCTTATGATTGGATGAAAATAAGCCGGGACAACTATCAAAATCTATGTAAAATTCACCGGAACAATACTTGGTCATTATACATTTGGTCTAAGCTTATCAGTTTGAGTATTTCCACCATAGATATTACTAGTCCAAATGAAATTCTTCTACAGCTAAATCAGTTGCTTGCTACAATACAGCATGCAAAGTATCAGGATAACGATCCATTAACAACTATACTTGTTAATAGTATATTTGAATGTATTATCTTCAAACATATCAACTCGCTACCTTCGTTTCCAGATATCCCACCAATTATTCAATATATTCTAGATGCTCGAGATGCTCAATCACGTTGGATTGACAATCAAAAAGTAGACGAGTTCGTGGAAACTGTGCAGCGATCAATTCGAGATGTTCTACTACTCGAAGGTGAATCAATTTGCTTCTTTCTTTGTTCTAACTGCTTTATAATTACAAACATTCACTGTCAGCGAGTAAATTTAGCTTATATTTTTTTGAAAAAATCATAGATATTGAAAATTGCAACTCCAGTTCGAAGCAGAGTCTGAGAGTATTTTTGAGCAAGACAATTCATATTGTGGGAAGTTTCTTTGGCATTTGTAATGGATTTATATCTGTTATAGGCACATGTACTGTATATCGTCGATTGAAGCGATCATCTATTGTTCGTTGTTTTCTTTCGCTTATGGATTTGAAGTCTATCTTGAATAAAGTCAATACTACAGAGTACAAATTTCCTAGTACACCACTACATATCAATGTAATTATGGATGTTCAGAACCCTAACGATATTAACATTCTTGGAAATGCGCCGATAGAAGAGGTCTTCGATCATCTTATAAAGCAGATAAACGTCTGGCTAGATTGGTTTGAAAAATTTGTTGATATTTTCTTATACGTCATTGAATGGCTAAGAAACTACAAAATGGAAAAAGCGGATCAGTTCTATCGTGAAATGTATAGCACAAGAAACGATTCAGCAATTACTCTTCTCAAAATTAAAAGACTCATTCAAGACGTTCTGAAAGTTTTTGAACATTTCAATCACCTTCCACGTTTGTGCCATCTCTTTAACTGTACACAGCCATTTGAAATAGTCGATCCTGGAACTTTGAGTGCTCCAGATCAACACAAACCTTTCATTGCAGAAACGAAACGATTTCGCCCGAATGACACTTTTAAAGTTAATGCTCATTGTATATATGAAAAACAGCATCGTATCGATGATCGCCGTCATGTCCGTTGGTCATTAGCATGTGAACAATATCCTTATCATGTTGTAATTGAGTATCGATCGGATAGATCATCTGACGAATATTACATGTTACATAACCAGACAATTAGTTCTCCTGATCAATGCGTTCTGCAGGGAGAATTCAAGACACAACGAGCTGGTCACTTGAAAATGAGAATAGAGAATCTGAGTGAATGTCTTTCACATACGCTATGGTTTCAAATAAAAAGTAATGCTCTATCAACCTGTCATTTATTTCATGGTATCTTCAATATTCATTACCAAAAGTATTTCAATTCGTCAAGTACAACAATCAAGAAAGATGATTTGGGTAAATTAATGCATCGAGTATTTTTATTTATCGATAATCTGCTAGATGGCAGTATCAGTTTGGCTGAAATGGATGAGCTTCGAACGGTTTTTCACGATAAAAACATCAATGTTCGAGAAGAAGTGCAAAAATTATTTGCCAATCGATCATACGACAATAATATACCATCGCCAGTAACTACTACAACTGTTACTTCTAAAACTTCAAGCGATGAAAAGATTGAGCAGGTGTATAAATGGCTGCAGACTTATCAGTATTATAGTCACGTAAGCATTATCATTAACTGTGTACAAAAATTTCATAGTATTTCAACGGAAACTAATGATCAATCGATGAATCATCTTCACGGTCTAACTATTGATAATAGTTGTTCGCTACAAGAAATATTCAATATTTACAATGATGTTTATCGTCGTTTTCAAAAGTTGACTGGTGAACACCTACAACTGATCAAAACTATGGTAGCATGTCCTAATGTTGTTGAAATGGTGAAAAAGTCAAATTTATACTCAACTGATGGATTACGTCGATTTCAAGAATTACGAGATAATTTGACCACACAATTTCAATTACAAGAACGAAATAATATGATTCTCAATTCGTGGATCATCACTTTTACTTTATGTGAACCTTTTGTTCAGAATGCACGTGATCTGGAACAATTTGTTGATAATGTGGCTCGTCTGAAAATAATCGATGAGAACTCATGTGAACATATCAAAGGTAGAAGACAATCACTGTCAAGAAAGTCTTGACACAAAATATTTGTTCATGTTTCGGTTATTTACAGGTAACCTGAGAAAATGAAAAGTAATCAGTTAGAATTAAAATATGATGATCTCTCTAAATCTGTATCCCGAATTTTCTTCTAGCTTGATACTGAATTATTCAAACCAAATCTTTGATGGGAAACTAACATAACATTTGTGCAAGAATATTTTACGTAGTTCATTTTTGTATTTGGATTAAAACTGCCTCAATTTAAATTTTCGAAAAATATTTTTTTATTCACCAGTTTGCAGAACGAAGCTTGCTCTACAAAGTGCTCAATTTCTTTATTTCCAATATAGCATTGAAAAACTTCAGGATCTGTTGCATTGTAAATATCGAATATTGCAAAGAAACAATTATTCTGAAAAATACTATCTCATGTAAAGAGTAGCATTGTGAAAAATGTTTCTAACTTTTGAATCCTTAGAGTTCTAGCTCATCGCAACCGATGACTTGGTAGAACATTAAATTCTCTACAACAATAGAAAGTAAAAACGATTCCTAAATATCCTTTAGAGAAATTACGAATGAGAAGAAAAAACCTATTTGTGTGGGGTGCAAGCGACATTTTCTATTGGTTTAGGTATTTGCTTTCAGCTGACTAGGCCTGAGTCAGAGCGAAATTCTAAAGATAGATTTGTTAGCGTTAGTGATGGATCCCACTAACGCTAAACAATGATTAGGATGCGCCTTCTAGTCTAATTAACTTAGGATATCTGCCAGGATAGCAGAAGGTATGGGTTCGTGTCTCATGAAGGTCATCTTTTTCATCGTTCTGTCGCATAATATAAGTGACACTGCTTGTCTCTTTCATTCTACACATATAAGAGCTAACAATATTTAGGAAGAATATCCAATTCTGATTCTGATCGACTACTTTTGATCCTCTTCAATTATATTGTAATGCCCGAAAAATAAGCAAATGTAGTTATCAAGACTTTGAAAACTAGTGTTTGCACATACGTCAATGTTGACCTTCATCAAAGATTTGCTCTCAGTGGTTCAACTTCAAGTTGGATCAAAATTTTGGATACATATTTAGAGAGAGCTTCAAATTTTGATTCTTGCTGGCTACTTTTTATTTCCTCAAGTTACTTGTAAAATGGTCGAAAAATGAACAAACATTTTGTGCCAATACTTTTCTGATAGGAATCAGATTTCTTTTTTTGAAACGAGTAGAATGATGAGGAGCAAGGAAGAAGATTCGTTCTTTGATGCATATATAGAAAACCAAATCTGCCTTGACATTAGATAGTATCAAGAAACTGGTGTATGAATGATTAAAACTTTCTTCACAAAGACAGATTTCGACTAAACTTTTCATGTCAATATTCCTAAAAGCGAGGCTTTGGTATAGTTATATGATGCTGTATTTGAAGGTAGATTTGATAATTGAATAGATCGATCGCTAATGATACATAGAAACTCATGTGTACCTAAAAAACATCAAAACTAACTTCTAATCATTTTTCTCGTTTATTTTCCAATAGTTGTGAACCAAAATATTGAAACTATCAATTTGTGGCTATCGACAGAAGATTCAACAATGTTAGATAATGCCCTAGTAATGATGGAACATGTGTATAAAACAGGCGTAGTCAATATACGCTTGCGACGTCTGATCAATGAACAATCTCATTATGACATCGATTATTCTATCAATAAAATATTTGATCAGACAATAAGAAACAATGATAGTGATGGGGAGCGACATATTGATAACGGAAATGCTGCAAATACACAGCAAGAAGAAATTAAATTTACTTTGTCTATGTCTGATGTCGATGATCATAGACGCCAATTGACTTTTTGTACTTCAGATTTATTAGACAATATGGCATATAAAACAATTGTGTTAGCAGAACAACTGAAGTTATTACAAATGGTAGAGAAAATTTTCTCTATTCATTTAAAGTTGGAGATCTCCGGTCATCCAGAATTTCAATGTACAGAGGAGCATTACGAAATCTATGATATACACGGTACGATGTCATATTTAACATCGATTGAAAACTCTCAAACCTTATTTTAGGTCACATCAAAAAAATATTAACCAGTATGAAGGACAAATCAGATCTATATTTACAAGAAGAACTGAAAGAAATTATTGTCAAACGAACAAAACATTTTGAGTCCATTTATCATACATTAGTAGGCGCCCATCATCAATGGATTGAAGATTTAGAAAAATATCGACATGATAACAAATTATTGACATTATTTTCTGATCGTCAAATAATGGTCATGATTATTCTTTTAACTACGCCAGCAGCAAATAATTCTATTCAACAAGCGTTTTTTGAGAAAATCTGTCTTTGCAAAGAGTTTGTGAACTATAAAGAGAACCAATCGAAATTGGCAGTTAATTGGCTGACGCATTATTTACAATCGTTGAGAATGAAAGATTGCGATCTATCTGAGCAGAATATAACGGATCTATACGAACGATATAAAATTGATGTTGGTTCTAAAACCGATACCAGTTTGAGACAATTATCTAATTTTTTACGCAAACTATACAATGATGGGACAGAACTCTTTCCTAAAAATTCGGTTCCAGCGGAAAATCAACAGTATTTTATTACATTGGATATTACTGAACAACAAACAAATGCTGAAAAGCATGCCACTGACTTCAATCGAGATGCGTATTGTATTCTATTAAACATTTTTCATGACCGATTACCAGCTGATTATCAAATTCTTTGGTGCTCGTCATCATCTGAGGACGATATTCGATTATTTTTCCTACGAGTCAGGATTTTTCATTCATGGACATTCGTAGTAATAGATACTGGTAAAATGCATCATCGTCTGCGTACTGTCTTATGGGAAGAGCAAGAGTCGTTAACGAATCGAGATGAATCTCATGCATTAATTTATTATTTTACCAAAGAATCGATAACTGGCAGAAAAGGCCTACGACCTTTTTATTTAAAACCAATGCATCGAAATCCATTGGAAACATATTCAAAACTAATTAGAATGATGCATGACGAAAATGTAACCGTACCACAGCTTGATATTGTTTATGGTACCGCTGGCATTGGTGAGATATATTTCATGATCTACTTTTTATTTATGTTAGAGTAATGTTTTTTTTTTCACAATAGGAAAAACTCATAGAATTCGAAATAAATATCCCGAAAATGATCTTTCATGTATTAGTATTAATGATAAACTCAACTTATCGTCTTTAATTAGTACGTTGCTCTCATTAGAGTCAAACGTAACGAGTGATACACCGGTGCTTTATCTCAATATTTCTATTCATGCACCGTTTGCACAAGTAAATCGTACACTCTTTTTATTGTTCGTGTGTAGATCATTGAATGACATTGCCAGTGGTCTGACATTTTCACTATCTTTCTCACGTCCGTGGAAATATGTTATTGAAGTTCCATACAATAATACATGTCAAGCCACTCCGGTAAAACACCTTGAGGAAATATTACCGATACTTTCGATCATATCGTCGAAGAACGACTTAACGGAAGTGACGGATGAGAATCATCAATTATTTATTGGAGAAGAAGAAGAACTAGTAGCACGGTTTCTCAAAGCTTATGAAAATGGAGCAATCGATCGTTTAGCAGTGCAAGACTCCGATGATAATCAGGAGGATAAGGAGCAACCTGTTGAGTTCGATCCATTGACGGATCATAACGAATCACGTCAATATATCTATACTTGCCTGGAAACCAATATGCCTGATATACCAAAAAATAAAATTTGCGAACTCTCTTTTACTAAGTTTTTGTATCGACGTGTTCGGTTTTTCATTGGCTTTTATTATCGTTACAATTCGTCGATACCTTATCTTGGTTCAATAGCAATGATGCAAATGATACAAGAAGCAAAACACTTAACGCAAATGAACTTCTCTTCTGATGACTATCACCGAATCTATTTGGTTTACGATCCTAGTTTTGCCTTACATCTTTTACATAATGATTGGAATGCTGTGCCAGTATCGTTAAAAATTCTTTTCAGAAACCTTGATCCAATTGAAGAGATACTGAATAATGGCAAAAATCCTCATATTGAATGTTTAGCATGGCTGATTGATATAAATTATAACATTTTTGAAGCAATCATGAATAATATGAAGTTCATTTTAACAGAGAATTTTACCTATAAACTATTTCATATTCATGAAAGAAAATTAACAAAATTACCTTTGATTATTGAAGGTGAAACAGGAATTGGAAAAACTTTTCTTCTGAAATTTTATTCTTCGTTACTCAATGCTCATATTGCTTACGGTGAACTTTATGAAAATACTACTCCAAGAATTATAGAACGTACAAATTTATGGTTGCTCAAAGAAATTATCGAAAATATTTTAGAACGGGACTCGACTATCCTAGCTACCTTCTTGCATAAAATCGAACCCAAATTAAATGATTTTGATGACAGTGAAAGTGATGATAATAAAGAAGAGATTCCACAATTGATAGCGTTTACAGAAGAAGATGAGCAAGAACTGACTGACAGACGTAATGTTCTTATTGCTCTCAAACTTTTGTTACAAAACTACCAATACGATCATAGAATGTTAAAGATTATCTGGAAAACAATATTGACTGTAGCTGATAAAAGAGATAAAAGTCTCAGCAAAAAATTGATCGAAGCTTTGCATAAATTTGTCATGTCACAATTGACAGATCTACCATTACTTGAAGCTAGTTGGCAACTACAAAAATCATTGGAAGAAACTCATCCACCGACGGTAGAGAAATCTATTGAAATTTTTGTTGAATTCTTAGTTCATACTCAAGTAAAGCCAGTCTTCTATCGACTTCTTTTACATCCAGGTATTACTGAGGAAGAGATTGTCGAATTTATGTCTCCAATTCATCAATTAGCAGTTCGTGTACCAAAAATTGAATTAGTAGTATTTTTTGACGAGGTTAATACATCATCATGTCTTGGTTTATTCAAAGAGATGTTCATAGATGGTACATTACATGGTAAAACGTTGGCAAAGAATATTTTTTTTACAGCAGCCATTAATCCATCAAGAAGCGTAGAGACGAATTCTGATAGATATCATGATGATACATTTCATGTTTACCGCAGTGATTATCTTGTTCATCAGTTACCAGAATCATTAGAAAATCTCAAAGTTTCCTATAGTATTCTTGATCGAAACACATTAGAAGATTATATTAAACAAAAGATCGCTACATTCACTATTGGTTCAATACAAGATCCACAAATGCAATTACCTCTTGAACAATACGCACAAAATACACTGATGCGGTCGATTCTCAACGCACAGAATTTCTGTGAAAAACGTCTTGGTAAAGTATTTTCTTTTGCTAACGTCTGGCTATATTTATCTTTAGGTTTTCTCCTGTAAAGTTGATTGAGGAGATAGCGAATTCTATCTGATAATAGCATTAACTGATAAAATGTACTCTACTTTAGGACATAATTCTGTATCACAGCGGGAGATTCAACGATGTTTTAATCTGATCGATTTTTTTTGGAAGCTGAAATATGATGATAATAATGATGAACCGGATGCTATGCGATGCATAGCTTTATCATTGGCATTGATATATTACTTTCGCCTGCCAACAAAATTAGACAATAGTCAAAGAAATGATGATAAGACGCCATCACGTGAAGAACTTGGAGAACTTTTAGATCGAACTCTACCCGATTTCGTTCACACAGTTCAGGAGGAACTCGAAAAGTTTGTTAATATTGACAACTTTTTAATTCCGCCAGGTGTAGCTGTGAATCAAGCTGTAAGTCAATAACTTTTATTTTTTTTTGTGTTCGCTCTGGTACCTTGAAGTCTCGATCATATTTAGATTCGTGAACATATTTTTGCTATTGTTGTGAGCGTTGTTACACGAATACCTTTGTGTATTATTGGTGCTCCTGGTAAGCATATTTGTTATGTTGAAACAAAGAATGTCGAAAAGAATAGAATTTGATATGCAGGTCAATCAAAAACACTTTCATTTCAAATTGTTCTGCAAAATCTGCAAGGTCCTCAATTATCACCAAAACCTTTTTGCAAGCGTTTACCAGCGCTTGATCCATTCTTCTGTCTTGGCTCTAAATACAGTCGATCAGAGGATATAGCTTATGTTTTCGATCGAGCTATCAAACGTGAAGTACAATATAGACAAATTCGAATCGATAGACAATGTGTAAGGGTTTTCTTCTTCCTGCTGTCATTTCCACTGAATTAACGGGCATTGATATTTTAGGTGGTTTTCTTAGATGAAGCTTCGTTACCTGATGAGAAGAAAATGGTATTAAAAGTGCTGCACCATTACTTAGATGAATGTCAAGTGTCTTTCATTGCCATAGCAAATAAATCCTTCGATGCAGCTAATGCTAATCGAATGATTTGTGTTTATCGATCTTTACCATCAGAAAGCGATCAGCAAGTACTAGCCTATGGTTGTCTTGGCCTACCAATCAATAAGAATTTTTCACAGACTAAAAGTCATCTCGATAATATTATTGTCGGTCTATGTGAAGGTTATCGCAAACTGCTTATTAGTCAAGATATTCCAAAAATATTTCATGATCGAGATTTCATTTACATGTTAAGAGAATTACGTTTTGAACTGCCACGAATCACATCAACAGATGATCAAGAAACATGTTTGAATGGAATTCAACCGGTTGCTTTACTGCATGCATTAGAGGATAATTTTAATGGAATCAATCAGAATCAATTCAAATCCTTAGTCGATCTCTTTTTCCAAGCAGTGCAAGTGAAATCTCCGAGTTTTATGTTACCAACCAGAAGACATCATCAGAAAATTTATCGTGATGTGCCGACCATTCTTCATGAATCAATGAAACTCGATTCGGAACACCGCCGTCTGTACGGTCGTTATAAACTAATTATTGATGAATCTGAAGATGACAGCGCTATTCACCTACTTTTACAAACAGGCATTCTTGATTCAGATCCGAATCGAACGGCTATCTTTCGCATGTCCGATTTTGTCGATGAAGCTGATAACGAATTGCACAATGTCGAAATTCTTTCCAACATCAAACTTTGTATGGAAATTGGTAAAACTATCTTGATGGTGAATACAAGTCGAATCCATGGTTCCTTATATGATGTGTTCAATCAAAATTTTTCTATTATGGCAACAGGTGATACAAGGAAAATCTTTTCAAAGGTGTCTATTGGTGCGAAAACTATCGATGTTGTTGTCCACGAAGACTTTCAATGCATAGTACATGTCAAAAGAAATGAGCTGGCAACTATCCCTGCACCATTTCTCAGCCGTTTTCAAAAATATTCACTTAGTATCAATGACTTCTATCGTATTCGAGTACAGAAACTGCCAAAAAATGAACAAGAAATTTTGAAAAATGTAGAAAAGAAAGCACAATCATTTATTGAACATTTTGGACGGCAATATTTCTATGGATTAAATGACAATACTCTTTATTCATGTCTCCTGCCTTTGATCGAAACCAAGAATAACAGAGAATATTCGTTGTTCAATATATCTCATCATTACACGCAATTGACCATTCGGTCGAAATCTTTCATTAGCCCGAGTCTTTCTAATATACAGCAATCGCTGCTACGAATCGTTCTCGTCAAATTAATCCAACTTGTTTCACCTGAATCAATCATTCTAAAACTACGAACATTTGCAGATAAGTTTGCTCAATGGTTATCAAATATCTATTTTCAAGAACAAGAACATTTCAATATAGAGAACTTTCTGCAAAGATTAATTTCAACATCATTTACAGCCATAGCAAATGATGAGTCGTCATTGGGTAATGACAATGAACGAGAAATTCGTCGAACAACCAAAGTGATGATATTTACCCGCACATCATTTTATATTCTTAGTATGAATCAACGATCAAGATACAATTTAACTCGTAACAATTACCGTAATGATAAGAATCAAACATTGGATATCCATGGGAAGATGGTGAAAATTCTCAATTTAGTAAGTTTATACATAACTTACACTTTTCTGTAGTGCCAATACGACTATCATATTGATGTCCGATTGAATCTAAAAATGTGCTCAGTTATAAAGTACTGACAAATCGAAAATGGAGAAAATTTTTTTGGCGGTTTTTTAGCATGGTCCGATAGAGCTCGTCGAGTTGCCTCTAAAAATGTTATTTTTAACATTGTCGGATTGAGTTTTCTGTAAAAAATTTCCAAAATACTATTATTGCCAAATAGCTTTTAAGTGATATATTACTATATTTGAACTATGACAAATATATAGACATTTTTTTACTTTTTATATTAATTTTCAATACTCCAAGTATTTCAACCGATATTTTCAATGAGACTCGACATAAAAAAAAAACTTTTAAGATACTTGAAAGGTGAAATGATTTGATAGCAGGGTCTACCAGAGTTAGGTCTTATATATAGATATATGGACTTCAGAGGAGTACCTTCCAAAGACATCAACTCATCATTGGCACATGATATACTGATTCTTTTTTCATAATTATAACCACCATATGTATACTACAAAAAAAACTATGTATGGGTTTTGAGCAAGCTCCTTATACTGTTGAAAAATTAAATTTTATTCGTTCATACCTTACAAAGCCTAGAACCCTTAAGATTGGATTTTTTAATATTTTTTTTGACAAAAGCAGAGGCTTTATTGAAATTTTCACTTTAAATAATTAAAAGAATTTTAGTAAACATCTGAATGAAAAAAACAGCTGAATTTCTATCGAATATATTTTGCTGATTTTATTATGTTACTAGAAAAGTTGATACTAAATGAGAGAAATAGAGTTAAAAATATATATGAAAATACTAAAAATAGTCTAAATGAGATGTTTTGATCCAATTCAAATTCGCGTTGGTTATCTTTCGATGAGATAACACATCTACTATACATGAGGGACTGAAGAATAATTGCGGCACCTTTGAATAATTTTGTCCTGATTGATAAGCAGAGAAACACCTCCCAAATCATCGAAATCGATTTTCATTTTATTTTTTTTCAATAATTTGTTCTCGTGACTGAGCTATTAGATGGATCATGGTAGGTTGTCCGTGTGGGGTGCGGAATGTTGGTGTGTGGGTGGGCGTGGGCATGGGCGTAAGTGTCGGTGTGAGTGTGGGTGCGGCTATCTTGAAAGTGTGGGTGTAGGTGTGGAGTGTGGGTGTTGGTGCGAGGTGTCGATGTGAATGTGAATTTTCATCTATTTACCTGCACTCACACCCACATCCATACCGACACCTCATACCCACATTCACACCACACCCATACCCACACCCACACTCCACACTCACCCACACTCCACACTCACCCACATTCACACAGACACCCACACTCCACACTCACCCACATTCACACAGACACCCACACTCCACACCCTTTTGGAAATTGTTTACAAAAAACTCAATCCAACAATGTTAAAAATAACATTTTAATATGCAACTCGACATGCTCTATCCGACCATGCTAAAAAACCAGCAAGAAAAAATGTTATTCCATTTCCGATTTGCCGGCACCTGACATAAAACTTATCGTATGGACGCTTATTTTTTTACACAGATGGCAAAAGAAGGATGGGTGGGAAGGATGATATCACCGATATATCCTCACGTATTCATATCTCCTCTGCTATGTGGCGCGAACTACGCGAAAATCAGCAATCAACTGAAGTTGACCATTTGGTTAACAGGGATCTCAAATGATCGGTGAGCCGTAGTCCATCTGCTAAATTCTTATACATCTCGATAAACTGGGTTTTTCAGCTCTTAAAAAGTTATGAAATCTGAGTCAAAATTCTGCCCCATCTATATCGTGATCAAGTTTGAGCGGCCCGTGCCAGTCGCATCTCTCATTTTACTCTCGTTGTCGAATTTGAAAATTCAATTGAAATAGTACAGCTAAATTAGCAATTGTTGAATAGTGATATTATTGAATTGTGTGGAATAATACACTGTAGTGTGTCAAATCTATCTTTTCTCGATGAAAACCAATTATTTTAAGATAAAAACAAATTTTATCGCAAAACTAGAATAAAAATAATGGAAAAAGGAAAAACTGATCGGAACAACGATTATATTGAAAATCATGATCGACCGTCGGTTTTTATCGGAAAAACACGACATGGGTCACTAATCCTCACCCATCCTCAACAATAGTACTCTACAACTCGTCACAGCTAATGGGTCATAATTAGCCATGCATCGTATCCAAACGGTTGAGGTTTGCTCTATGTGTCACCAATACTATGGATATTTCCTTCAGCTAGTCCAATCACTCAGTCATGATCCATGTATTATTGTAAAATTGGAGGGAGCGAGAGTAGTAAAGGACTAGGGAAATAGTTGTCATAATAATGATGCGCTTGATATTGAGTTGTAAAAGAAAGAAAACATTAGGACTCAATCTGGAATTCTACTACTGAAGTATACACACTCGTCAGACAATTTTGAAATAATTGATAAATGAACAATATGAGATCAACAAAGTGCTCTTTCAAGTAAAATAACAACACCGAATATTTGGGTCTGGCCCACAGCTCTAAAATGGTGATGGATTGATAGGGCAGGACAGCTTCTTGTCTCAGCATAGTTGCAAGTTTGCCCTTGTCCTTCCTTCTGAATTAGTTCAATAGATCAAACTGCAGTATCAGGATAACTCTCAGCTTAAAGTTACCAGAAAAGATCATTAAAAGCGATGGTTTCTATTTAGAGCACGATTGAAGATTCTACTCAATTACAAGAAAAAATTGATGAATTTCGAGCTGATGGTGAAAAACGTATACTCATTATTACGATTGATACCCATATCGATCAACAACGGCTACACATCCTATATATTCGACATCTAATTGATGGTGCTGAATATGCTTGCAACAAGAATAATACCAATGAACGAAAATATTTTCTAATGCTTATTCATTCACCAGCTCAAGATTTATATCATCAATCATGTTTTCCAGCGATATTTCTACATAATTGGGATTTTCATTTTTTTGATACCTGTGCAACTGGTAGCGCATTTTATTTACAAAAACTATTGCAATTATTATCACCATCCCAAAACGAACTAGAGACAAAGCAAGATAATAGTTTATGTGATTTAAGTATTCTTTTTGAAGATTGTTTATGGGATTTCTGTTCTCGAATTCAAATTTTAGCGCCTCAATTACCAAAGAATATGTTTACGAATCCATTGGCTTATGAATTTTATCAACATAAAACGAATACTATCCGAAGAGTTAAATGCTTAAGAGAGATCCTTCAAGGATCATCAGAACTACAGAAAATTCTTGTCAATATTTATCATCAACATCTACTTACAACGAAAAATTCTTTGGAAAGGATTAAAGATTTTATCTATCAGATTTCGAAGAATATCACGTGTGGTAAACGATTCAACGGTTTTGTCGAGTCTATTCAAGCTCACACTCGAAATTCATTTATAAACTTCGTATCGAATGTTTTCAAAATTATCGCCAATGATTATGGCTTAGAAACTATATCTCAATTATTAACAAATCAACAAATTTATGGAGCTTTATTTCATTTAATTGACTTTCAATCTTTTACTGTAGAGGATAATAGCGATATTTTTGCCTCCCAAACTACACAAGATGTCATTCAACTGAACATAAATTATTCTTGTATACCTCAAACTCCTCTATTTCATTTATTTCATCGACGAATCAGATCCCATGGTAACGCTATTAAATTGAAGTATATCCACTATGATGAGGAATTCACAGGTAACAGTATTTTTCTCATATATTAGTCAAGGACTCAGTCATGAAAAGACATGACTGTAGTAAGAATCAGTATAATAAGAATCATAGACTGCTTTTACATGAACTACTCTGACGAAACTGATCACTTCTACCCAAGATTAGATGAAAGCAGAGGAAGAGATCTATTCTACCCTCCTTTTTAAGATATAGTACTTCGAGGTAGTGAAATCTAAAGTAAAATGACTAGAAGTGATAGAACACTTTTCTGTGCATATGAGTAATTAACTTTACTTCTCAATCTAGTGAGGCAAGTCACACTATCAGATTGACAAATTAAACGAAAATCTCATTGAAACATGCTCACTGATATCTTGCTTGAGGGCATATGCTCAAATATGATATTTTTTGATCTATCTATGTAGCATTATAAATCAGATGCAATCAAAATGAGTTTGTGCTCAATAATATTTTTATTTTAGAGGAAGAGCAAGGCTTGCAAGATGATTATTTTGCTATCTCATGCAACACCACCACTGATCACATTCTTAATGACGAAAATAAAATGGCTCCACTCACATTCAATCGTTTTCGATCTGAACTGATCAATTCGATCAAAAGCGATAAAATACTTCTTGACGCTGTAAACAGCATAACTGTTCATTCTTATTCCG